TTGGAATTCTGGCCGATTTCACATTTTGGTATCAGGAGCACATGATATGCAAAGAGGTGGCACGGGAAATTTTGGTACGTGTCAAATTCTGGCATGAATTTTACATTTTGGTATCAGGAGAACATGATTTATGAAGGTGAATTAAATAAATGCTTGTTGCATATAAATATAAGTGTTTATTTTAAAAAATCGCTTGAGAAATACATAGCGGCATCATTTTTCTTTGTAGGTACAAAAATTCATATTCATATTTATTCATAAAAATAGAGCAAATAAAGGTACAGTTTAATTTAATTATATACAAACAATTAAAGATAAAATTTTATGGTATCAGTATCAGTTTCGAGTTTACCTTTACCTTTATTTGTTATTATTTTATTAAACACTGTACCATGAAATTATATTCGCGAATGCTTGTATTGGAATAACTTAAACATCAATTATATAATTAGGATGCACAACAAGTAATGGGTCATCGTCTTCTTCGTCAATTGTACCCTTGCTTTTAAGGTCACCTGTAGAAAGGGGTATTATAATTTGATCCTAAAAGAACAATACTATTAGTTGTACATGAAATATAATTGAGAAGATTTTAAGCAATGAATTCAATACGTACGTGATATGTTAACCTGTCGATGATCTTTTCGATAAAATTTTTCCTTTCCAGTAATTCTTCTTCTGAATCTATTTGGTCTTGAATTTGATCGAGATACCAGGCTACAAGTTCTGATTTCCTTAATCCGGCTCTCGCATCATCTATATAAGAAGTTCTTCTTTACTCTTTTAATTTAACAAAAATATCTACTTAACTATTTACATTTTTTGTCATCTTGAATATCATACCAACAGTAGAAGTTTCGGCACGATTTTCTTCACTCCTCATATATAATACCAACATATTAGATAAATTCTTGTACTCTTCGAAGGACATTGTTAATTTCTTTTTTTCTCCATCTCCCGTTTCTATAAATATATATATATAACAAAAAGTAAAAAGAAAGAAAAACACCAGTTTCGTATATAAATTTAGACACAAAAATGAAGTTTAAATGAAATTTTTAATTGATTAAATGAAACATTAAATTCAAATTAAACTTAAATTTAATAGAAATAAAATAACATAATTTACGAGGAGTAACAGGTGTTTTATCATGATCGTCTAGCGCATTGAGAGCAGCCATAACTGGAGGAGCATCATCCAGAAGGACCTCTGTATTTCCATCTTCAGATTCCTCTAAATCTATATCTGGCTGTTCTACAGTTACGATACTTTTACTTAATAGCCGTTTTGCCTCTTTCACATGTTTTACAGAGACTTCATCTAAACATTCTAATTTAGCCTTAGCTTCGGATAATCGTATAAGACTTTCTAACTGTCGAACTGTAACTCGCCACGTTCCAGAACCACTGCCAGTTCTTTGTCTAAGTGCTGTGTAACTATCGACTAAAAATTCTGCAGCTTCCTATTATGTTTTAGAAATCAATGCAGTTGATTTAACTTATAATTAATTTGCATTTAAAAGAAATGTAGATGTTTCAACTGATAATCAATTTGCATTATAATACCTGGCTCAATATAGGCTTAAAATGTTTGGCAAAATTAATGTATCTAACAATCTCAGATTGTGAGTACACTGTTTCAAAATCTTGCCAATTGTCACAATGTAGATCAATAATTCTTTTAGCGATCGCATTATCAATGATTTCATTGCATTCATCAACTATAATAAAGAATAAATCAAATCTAGACATAATGGGAGCCGTTAGTTGAACATTTTGTTGCAACGATTTTTTCCTGTCATAACGTCCACCAACAGGATTCGCTGCTGCTAATATTGATGTTCGAGCATTTAAAGTTGCTCTTACACCAGCCTGATAATAAATGTCTTATTAATAATATATAATATGGAAAACGTAATAGAAACTATTTTATATTTAGAAACCTTGGCTAAGGAAATAGTTTGTTGCTCCATAGCTTCGTGTATAGCGACTTGATCTTTGAGATCCATTTTATCAAATTCATCGATACAACAAATACCTTGATCGGCAAGCATTAAAGCACCAGCTTCAATGACAAAATCAGGAGACTCTTCGTCTCTTACGACAGCTGCGGTTAACCCAGCTGCAGAAGATGCTTTTCCTGAAGTGTAAATAGATCTTGGAGTAATTTCAGCAACGCTCTTTAAAAGTTGAGATTTCGCTGTGCTAGGATCACCAACAATGCAGCAATTTATATCCCCTCGTAACGAGGTGCCTTCTAATGTTATCTTTGGAACACCACCAAACAGCATTAAAGTGATTCCCTTTTTAACTTCATCATTGCCGTGTATCGAAGAAAACAAACTATTAACGAGATTCTGGTACAAATTTTTATCGCGACTCATTTCATATATACGATTCCACTCTGCTTCAGTCATTCGTTTCTTCATCATTTCTTGTGATATTTCTTCCATGTTTGTCTCCATACCACCAAACTATAAGAATTAAGTATTAAGATTGCCATATTTGATTACAAAAGTGTTTATTCATAATGCTGATTGTTTGTACCCTAAAACTTGTTGGTGTAACACTACATGCTAGAAACGCAGTTTTATATGTGAGTTCTCTGGATCCTAATGCTTTCAAGCCTGTCACTCCATCTCCTGGTTCTACACTTTTATTTCGCTTTGCCTTAGGATCCATTCTTACGCCAGGAAGAGAAAGAACTCCAACATCTGGTATAACTATAAGAGTTCCTGTAAAGTCATATCTACAAAATGCAAAATAATATATACAAATCATTAGAAAGCAAACGACAATGTATTACTATATTCTATGCAATACCTATCACCAGCTTGTATAGTTTCTACTGCTTCAGATCTTAAAATAATTTCAAGCGAGCGAGGAATGCATCCCCTAGGAAGTTCAGCTTGTGTTTCCTGTACTCTGATTTTTTGAAAATCCACAAAAACTGAATTATCCACATCCAATAGGAAACGTCGCCTATTACTACATACTGGATTGTGACAAATTGTTGGATTTGTGAACTAAAAAATGTCATTTGTACTATAGTCAAGTACCAACCATACCATACCATACCATATATTTATTATTAAAATACTTATGCTATACCTTAAATTGTTGTTCCACGTGCTTTATTACAGCATTACAATCCATGCAAATAAATGTTCCGAGTAATAATTCTGGATGAACTGGATGCGTTCGTATTACTTGTCCAGATATGCGTATTAGGGTACCCAATTTTGATGCATTTAATTCTCTTAATTTTTGCCTAGTTGGTACTTCTACAAAACTCACATAACATTCCTTCTCTTTTCTTAATTCAGCAACATCTCTGACAAAATTATATAACGCTTGGCACAAATATGGATAAATCCTACAAAACAAGATTATATAGTTAAATATGCTAAATATTGATAAAGTAATCGATCGATTAAAAGATACATTTGATTTAAAAATATAAATATTTACAGTCTACTAAGAAGCAGAACAGTATCATAAAATTTCTACCTGTAATATTCTTCAACTATGGTTGTTGAAAGTACTTGATTGTATTCATCTACATCATCAAAAATCACTTCCAAAGTACAGTGTTCTGGGCTTATGAGTTCTTTTGCTGGCTCGAGATATTTTACAACTCCATCTTCTTTAAACCTAATTAAAAAAATAAGGGAATAAATTATAGAAAAGCTATAAAACACAATTCAATGAAATCATGTATAATTCTATGACATGTGTTTATTGTTAAACGAATTGTTTTCAACAATGCGAAAGACCATACTCTTCAAGAAAATCTTGAAATAACTTCTGGCACTTGATTCCGACTTCATCTGGTATACGCCTCAAAGAATTTGGACCATCCCCAATATCCATTTTTCAATAACTAATAAAACTTAGTCTATCCGTATAAAATTATATTTGATTCAATTCTGGCGTCCAACAAAACACACCTGTAGAATTTGGCGGTAATAGTCTGTGGGCTAGTTTTCAAATCTCAAAATTTTTGTTGATTTACAAAATATATCCAAATAAACTAAACTTAAAATCTTTGTATAATATTGATGATAATCCTTCAATATTAAGTTGTAGATCATATTTTAATAATAAGATAGCGAACCAGTAAACTCTAGTAACAGAACCATATGTTAAGAAAGAATCTCATTGGCCCACTACTTTTGTGTCCAGGGGGCCTATTCTCGAGTCGTACGATCAGTTTTCGTATACGCAAGTTGGTCACTTTCACATGATGTCGCTTCAAACGGTATTCTCGATCGAAAGCGCTGATTCGTATACGAAATGTTTCGTACGGTTTGCATCGGGTGGGTGATGACCACACGAAACGCAAGGAATGAATCAACACATAACATGGCCGTTGCGCGGTATTTTAAAAAAGAACAGTCGCTTCAAGATTCTAAAACATAACAATTAAAAATTGTTTAATCTTATTAAATGTTCGAATGAGATTAATAAAAAAATTTATTAAAAATACTTAAATATTGTATATTGATTATGAATCTTATGAAACATTGTGTTAAGTATTATTATCAATTTTTAATGCTAAATGAGGTTTGGGTACATTTTACAATAAAACTAAATTTCAAATTTATATACAATCTTTAGCTTTATATGAAAATAATGTTATTATTCGTCACTTTCGCTTTTTTATTATGCAGTTCACTTAAAAATAAGATCACATTTTTTTTTATCACTATTTTGGAACATTTTCAGTAATTCTTCATACTCCATTATTGCCGCAAGTTTTTAAATCATGTAACCACTTAGTATACCTTTCATTGGTAAGTATGATTTTACCTTTAAACTTATTTGCTGTTTATGTATAAATTTATTTACTTCAGAAGTAAAGGGAGTTGCACTCCGCAATAAATCATCAGACTTTAATGTTTTTCAAAAACAATGACGTCATATACAGCTTCGAGGAAATTTTCCCTTTAATTTCCCTTCATTTCCTGGCAGATTTCCCTTTAATTTTCCTTCATTTGATATGTTACTTTGAAAGGATAAAGGAAGAGTTAACGATCAACTGTCCTGAAAAAATGTAAAAATTACAATGTTTAAGTTATAGAGAAGATTTTATTATTGTATATCAAAAACCAACAGTATTTTTAACCGTTAATAATAGTTACAAAAATAGGTATGTATTATACGCAACTCACAAAGTTCTAATTCCTTTTACGACTTTCCACGATGAATCGTCGCCGAGGCATGTCGACATAATGAAGCGAGTAGTAAACATTATTGTATGGCGTTAAAGCTTTCGGTAGCATTCTTATCCTTAAAGCTGCATCATTCGTTTGAACTACAGTAACCCTTATAATAATTCAACAAGCTCATGCAGCTTTAAGTATTTCGTTAACTTAATTACTCGTACACTCTGACTTGGAAAATACACCAATGGAATTTTATCGCTGGATATAATAAATCGTTGATACAGTAAAAACGATTTTTCCAAATTTACAATTATTTCTGAGCAATCCTATAATACGTACAAAAATTAATTTTGTAAAATTAATTAGAAATAATTGCTGTGTCGAGATTTTCCTCGAAAAATGAAACCTGTTAGTCATAAGAAGAGTTAGATCATTTAAGGAAACCATAGTCATAAGTGAGAAAGGTAGCCATCTAACAGCTGATTTGCTAATAAAAATTTAGAAGGTAAAAAAAGGAGTTATTTTGAATATTTTTTCGTGATAGATACGTACAGAAATTAATTTAATATCAATTATTTGAACCAGTTTATAATAAGATGAAACACCCTAAGTCTTGTATTTATTACGACAAACAAGATTCACTTTATATGTTAATTTTACAATACATTATGGTTTTTGCAAGTAGCACGAAAGATAAAAGTTTCAAAAAACATTACAATCATGCCAAATAGATTTGGTAAATTTTGTTCAGATTTTAGACACGTCTTTTTTTCCAAAGCCACACACGAGTAATTTTAACAGGTGGAAGACAAAAGTTCCTACCGACGCAAAGTACACATTGTTGACACGTTCCGTCTCACACACCCTTTCGCAACACACATAACTTGCATTACACGAGTATTTTACATATTACAGATCGGAAGTACAATACTGCAAGTAACATTTTAACATCGTTATTTACAGAATGATAATGCAAGAAATATCCATTTCTTATTTTTTACACGTAATAAATAAATTCGTACACCTGTACGATTTCCGATAATCTGAGTTAATATCGGACTAATGCAATTTCGCTGTTTGGAGCATCAAGAACATTTTCCCAGAGTGATTCAGATGTATAGGTGCAAACTTAACTGATATGGCAATCTAAACATTTAAATGTTCGCGTCAAATTGGTGACTGCGAAGATGACGCGTGACGTGCATGATGCAAAGGAATGTAAATCTTTTAAACAATTGGATAATCCTCGTTAGTTTACGCTTATTAAAATAAATGCCATTAGCTAACGATAAAAAGGACACACAAGACCCTATTAATAAAAATGAAATTCCAAAATCTTATGATTGATTTTTTTAAATGTTTATAACACTCCTGTTGTTAAATAAATGTTATAATACTTTTCAATATTAAAATAAATAATTTATTCATGAAGAAATATTGCTGATTTATTTTATCACCGTTTTCCTCAACCATAGATGTCCACTCATTACTTGTTTTGTGGTTACTTCATCATTCACATTATGATTAACTTCCATGCGACAATAATATTTATTACATAATAGCAAGTAAGCCATTATTTTTACACGTTTGTTGAGCTTCTATTAATAACTTGGTCGAATTTTCCGAAATATCCATACTAGTACTATGGACTCAAAATGGAATTGTCTTTTCTATTATTAGCGTCACGAATGGAGAAATGATGAAACACAATTTCTATAGTACACAGAATAATCTTGTTTTGTTAATAACATTATATAAGCATCTTCCCAATAACTACATTATCACATGACCGTAGTGGTGAGGGTAGAGAGTGTTGGTAATTTCCACCGATTTCACGAGTGGTGGTGTATATACAGGATGTCCCAGAATTAATATAAGAACCGAAAATGGAGGATAGCTGAGACGATTCTGAACCACAATTTCCTGTGCAAAAATGTCGGATGGTGCTTCGTTTTTGAATTATTAACATTCTGGGACACCCTGTATAAGGAGAGTCATTGTTGACGAAATCAAAACCGAGGAAAAGTACTCAGCGATTCAGAAGAAGAGAGTATTGAAAGTGAACAAGAAGAATGTTGAAAACAAAAACTACAATGGTTAACAATGTGGGCAGTACTCGAATTAATTTAGGAAAGAGGACTAACGATAAAATTCGTACTTCCAGCAATACAAAACATGAGAACACATCATGTGGATAATCAAAACTTAGAAAAGAAACGAATGTAGATGACAATAAGCGATCATATCAAATACATTATTGTACAATTGAAAAAATTAAAATTACAATTAGGAGCGCTTTCTTGATAGGATTATTAGACAACGTCCAATACGGCGAAAAATCCTTCATGACATCGTTGAACGAGATACACTTGATACCCACGAGAATCAAATTATTCACCTCGCACTATCAAAACTTTATGCGGGAGCAATCTTTATCATTGCAGAACATGGGGAACACTACCATATAATCCACGATTGTACTTGTTCCAACTCAACATGCCGATGTACACGACTCGAAGAAATCTACAACGGATATATTATCAACAGAAACGGAGAACGAAGAAGAGCCCGGATATATACTAGAACAAATACTCTGAGCTCAGAGTTCAGAATTCAATGATGGTGTAATATCGCAATATATTTATCGACAAATGGAAGACAAATTGATTACATTGAAATCGCTGGGAGAAAGAGGCTGCAATCTAATAAAATTGTAAGTATTTCCCTTTCAAAAAATAGAGAACAGGCAAAAGGACACACAGAAACTGAAGTAGAACTAAACGGTGGAAAGAACAATAACGAAACCAGCAAGGACAGCAGCAAAATTTCCAACGGGTCCTGCCGAATACGACGCCACCCGGGACACAGCCATCATCGGCAACACAAGAACGACAGCAACAGATCAGCACCGTGTGGACCAGTCCCGGTTTGTTCCACTAGAACTGCTAGGAATACAGCCCTACAACATTCCTCATCGACACAGGTAGCGAAATTTCTATCATTACAGAAAAATCACATAAAATTTTCTACAAATCACAGATTCAACGTCTATTGGATTGCGAGTTAAACATGTCTGATTTAATAAATCGACTAAAGGGTGGAGTTAAGATCTCTTTAGATGATCTGAAACAGTTCCAACTCCCCAAAAGCAACGAGGAGTATTACAATCAGTTGGATTACTCTGTAGTGACTTATCGTTATGGGACTCTCTTTTTGTTTACTAAAGGTAGAGTACTAGCTCCTTCCTCTATCCTTAAACTCCATAAAGAACACCCTGCTGAGTTTGATCTCTCCGAATTTCTAAGAGCGGATTATCTCACAGTATCGAGCAGAAAGGAACTACCTAATATGTCGCGAGGCCATGCAACCAACCTTCGATGTTCTAATAAACAAAAGGTGTCTGTTACGAGATTCATCACACGAGATCATGACATGGCTACCATTTTTCATGGTATACCAGGAACTCTTTTTAGCGGCCTTAGCAGAATATTACACCCAACCAGACACATCGATCAAGTTCGTCACCGTCTAACAACTAGAAGACCTTAATCAGCCAATAGAGAAACTATCAGAACCAGCAGACATATACGAGATAATATACGCGATAATAACGAGACCTGTGAATGGCTCAACGAGTTGGTTGTCGCGGTAATCAGGGATGAAGCAAAGGAGGAATAAAATATAGATATAAAATTTTTCGAAAGAACGAAAGGTCCCACGTTATCCTAAGGCAATGTTTAATTATAATTGCACCATTAACCGGTCCAAGGGATATATCCCATTCGAATTACAAGTAGGTTACGAACCCAACAGTATTCTTGACGAACAGGACGAACACTTGAATCTTAGACAAAGAGTAGAGGACTTAAAACTCCAACACGAGAATAAAGTTATTCCAAGGGTAATTTAGTCCTAATTCGAAATTATGTTAGACCTTTAGAAGAGACCTTTAGTCACTCGATTAAAGTAAACGAATGTGGAATGTTCATCACCAAACAAACGTCAAATTGTTCAAACAAGGGTCGTTGACTATCACAGACGACGAAACTTAGCCGAAATTTTATGACTGCTCCAACACTGATGATGAACATGGCTGCAGTACGAATCACGAGTTAAATCCTAACGGCCCAAAGGGTTAACGAAAAGTATTCGATTACCGAGTTGAACAACCAGGGAACCATTTTTCTATGACACCTAAGTCGGGTTAGATATATCACGTACAGTGGAAAATAACGGGGACCAAATTCACATGCTCTTCGCGTAATAGATTAATTAAACGAATGAGAAAAATTTCGGCCACATTCAGGGAGAGCCCCCTCTTAGTTATTTCTTGTGTAGTGCACGACAAGCACTGGCAAGACCATATTGCACAAAAAAACTTGATGGAGGTTACACCTCGAAAGAGCAGGGTCTTCTTGCTACATACAACCGGCTAGTGGAATTGCTCATCGTCAAAGGGAATTGGTCTAGCGAGTATACACTAAAGTACATGATAGGCAATAAGAAATTAGATATCATTTAGAACGCAAGGTAATGGAGACAAGTATCTGATACTTATAATAAACGGTCGCACACTATTGGAACTTAGTTCATTGAAGAAATCGTATGACTTCATATTATTGGATGATACTCTATCCAATCACTGCTACGCAAATTTTTGTGTCTTTTGTACAATACATTTACATCTATTTTTTACTTACAAATACACAACGACCAATTGCATTCTTCTTTCTGATCTTTGTGTGCTTTCTGACATTACGCATTAAACTTTCTGTTCGTCAACAAATTCCGTCTCTTAGATAAACAAACAAATAAATAAATAAATAAATTTACGATAGTACTTAGATTCACTCCACTAGTCGTATTATCTTCGGCCAATCACGAATCCATATTTCTCACTGCCTCTTATACTTGCAGTGATTATTCTTAGTTCATTAATTTAAAATGGTATTTCGTAATTGTAGATATTTTTATATAAACGAATTTAGTAAGTATCATTCCTCTTGAAAATATTTCTAACTTTAACTAGCAAACAATTTAATACTAATAGGATTATCGAAACTTCTATTGTCTATAATATTGCACTTTACAGAGTATATGTAAACTGTTACGATTAACTGTACGTTTTATTTTAAATATATGTATGTATGTATGTATGTATGTATGTATGTCTAATAAGACTTTTCCGTTTCTGTTTACCAAATTTGTTAATCAGTTAAGTTTATACCTGCAACGCTGAACACTCTGTACGATCAAACTTCCATGTGATCCCAAAAAATATCAACATCATGAAATACGATATTTGGAGATCCTTTCGATCTTGGGTATTATCTTACTTTATCACCAGTTGTGAAAATATTTTCTTACGATTAAACGTTTTAAAATCTCGTACTTCTGTTTCTTTTTCCTAGCGCTGGTTTCTATTCACTTCCCTATTATCACAAAGCGAAAATGGTTAAAGGATTGGGTAGAAAAAAATCAAAGATTGAAGCATCGGTGGAGATACTTTTCAATTACACTATTTGGGAGAATAGTGAGGAAAATGTGGTTTCCAGCCCAGGCCTACGTGTGCTCATACGCGAATGATGCGATCGCCGCTAATCCAATTCTAATGACTTATCCTGTAGCATTTATCCCGGGCCATAACGTAGTCGCCCAGGCCCCAATTGAAGGAGTTGCGCTATTGCACAAAGAAGAAATAGTAGCTCAACTGTCACTCACACGATTTTCTCGTCCAATTTTTCATGATTACTCAGAAAACGGCGATGACTCAATGTATTTCTTGCGACCCTAGTTCAACCCGGAAAATAAAGTTCCGTTAATTGAGAGGCAGATGCATTTTGATGAACTGAACAACCTTGAAGTGTATTACTTTTACGAAGGAAACGACTTTAGACAACTATTCTCAAATTTCAACCCCACGGGTTACGTGAAGAATGTGTTAATAGCTGACGTTTCAATTGAATCAGAAAAGATGCTTCTAAGATACTCCTTGGTGGGAAGGCATATGAACAAGATTTGGCGCTGGAATAAAAACGAACCGAACAAGATGCTCGCCCGCTCATTCCCAAAAGAATACGTGGCTAACCAAGCAGCTTTGACGACATTTTCAAACAAAATCAGTCAATACTTGGTTAAAAGATTGGAAGATCTTAAATCTTTAACGCCGTAGAAAAAAAACAAATTTTCTAAGTATGGGCTCATATTATACATCTGTCAGTTCTACGGTTACGAATCCACTAATTTTACCCAAGACCGTAATTGTCACGGTTACGTGGGATGCTTAATTCGCTTTACCACAAATGGCAGCCAAAGGCTGCAAATGGCACGACTCTAGCGTCAGCCACGAAGTGCAGAAGCACTTGTACAATAACGATCGAAACGACTCACCTTTTCGTTAAATACTTAAATCTATTTTTTTAGAGAAGGTAACTCGATTAACCCTTTGCGTTCGAGACGCAACCGTCGGTCACCATTGGGTATCACGCGGTACCTCGAGTGGCGACTGAAAGGCGAACAATTTTGTTTATATTGGATTTCGTTGTTCTTCTCATTAATCTGGATGTGAAATACAGTATAACCTTATTTATCTGACTGGTCTGGGGACAAGACAGATCCGATAACCGAGTAGTTCAGATAGTAGAGGTCCACTAACTATCCCTTCCATGAACCCTCCACCATAGTTTAGATAATAGAAGCTACGGGAGACTTGAAAGGTATTGAGCTCAGCTAAAAGTTCGTATATCCGAGACTGAGCAAGACTTTGTTTGTATACACGAGGTGCTGATAAACGAGGTTCTACTGTATTTTTAGGTCAGCAGTTTGAAGTTGGAGTTACTAGTTCACTCTAGAAAAAATGTTGTCGAGCTCAAAGGGTTAATATATTGAATTCCATGTTGATCACCAGTGATCAGCAGCAGATTTTCCATTTAAACTTCGTCGATCACCGCTAACAACGCATTGAACCTACAACGCTTCCTTAATACGCTTATCATAAATAAACTGTAATACTTGTTAATTTCTCAATGAGATTCATGGCAACAGAAATACTGTAAAGTAATCAGAACACCGTTAAAACACCGATTGCTTCCATTTTGTACATAATAACGAATAATACGAAACTCACTTGACATTAAACGTGTTAACGTTGGCCAGTCGATAACGTCAAGTAAATATTTTCTGACTTGTATGTCCGAAACAAATGACCAAGTAAAATACTTAAAGACGATATTCTTTGGTTGTTTAAGTTGTAATACTAAACAAAAAATCAAAAAGTTCACATTCTTTGAGTCCTTCATTTGATCAATTGTCTCGAACAGACGATTTGAAGTTAATATTCGGTAATAGCGTACCAAGGAAGCGCAAAACGAACCCAAATGATACAATTATATTGCACGGTAGATAATTCCTATCATAAAATACGCGAAGGAGAATCTTGATTAGGCAACAGCCTATTTCTGCGACAGCGATGCGAAGGATACAAAATAATAATCAGAGATGCGCGAGTACCTCAACGGCAGTGACCGGGGGTGTTTGATCCCCGCTTAAAATCACGGGCTCCGATTCAGTCTGAACAATCCTGACCAAGTTCGCGTCCTTCTTGGAAGGTGCGACATTCGTGTTCGAAGCAACATTAGATCTGGCGCAATAACTCGGCGGTCTGCTTTCTCTAGTTGTGCCAGGTGTCACGATACTACCAGCGTTGGACCTGTAGGTCGGCGGAGGCGAGGACGTTGGCTGCAAGCGATCCAGAAGTAATAGTCGAAGCCTGTACTCTTGCATACTCGCCTACAATAAAATCAAGATAGTCAAGATATGTCAAGATAGAATGATTTCTCATCCGTTATAAATTAGAAATGTAGAATAAAAGTTGTTCAAAAGAGGTGAAGCATAAAATTGTTCTTTCGCCTAAATTCCTCGACAAGAAATTAGGTCTAGCTAGTTCTCGTCGACAAAAATCGAATGATACAGTAATCTCTTTCAAGTTGTCACAAAGGCCGAGCTGTGATAACCTGAACTGAAGGTAGATAAACGTTAATTATTGTTGTCTCTCTGGCTCAATCAATTTTATACACATTGAGGGGGAAAGTGAGTAACAGTAACATCTACGAATGCATTGAATACTGAAAGGGAATACTGCATCATATTTGAAACTCACCTACCTAACATCATACAACTGTAATGCGAATCTAAAAAGTAATGTGATGTTATGAAAGTTTGCATACAGATAGAGTATATTGACCAATATCAAACATACATTTTTGTATAAACCCTATAGATAGCACATATTAAATAGAACATTAAAATAAAAAGGATAGACAATCAGTCTATGCTTCTTATCTTTACAGTCAAATTAAGAATGTCAAGTTTAGGGTATTTCTACTTGGATATTCAACGAATAACGATACCATTAAATTCTTCTCAGCGAAAGCTTTCCCTACACGTATAGAAATACCATATACTTACGTCCAAAATGTCTTGCAAAACTTAACACAAAAATTATAAGAAACTCCTGAGTTTTCACCTGATAACTCGGCGGTGGAGTTCTAAACTGAAATTCCGGATAAATCATGGCAGCATACGGATGAATTGGCCTCGCTGGCGGGATTCTACCCGAGATCCCCGTAAAACCAAAGAAACTACTGCAATTTTCTCGACTGGTCACTCGCCACGCTACAGCGCTCACAGTTACCAGAACCACTCCTATACCTGAAACAGAATGCGTCTTGTCAGAAAGTATGCGAACTAATTTCAAAAATCAAATACATAGAACAAACTGAACAGGAAAAAAAGAACTAAAGATATTTATATTTACTAAGTAATATAAATAATACAGATGGAAAGAGGGAAAAATTTACATGTATTTATGTGAGAGGGTTGCGCAGACGTGCGCGTAACTACGAAAACTTAGATAATTGTGTTTCCTTGGGAGATGTTTTCTCAGCTCTCACTGTTCTCACACGATGACTTTCGTGAGAACACACGACAATGCTTAACGATACCGTCATCTTTAGCTGCTCGATGAGTTCAACTTCGTGTTTCACACGATTCGTTCACACCGTTTAGAAGAGCAGTGTTGAAAACGCACATCTACCATTATTTCATTACTTGAACTTTAGTAATAATTTCAAGCTATAAGTATCATTTAATTAACAATCATTCTTGTAGCTAATATTTCCACGCATTAAGTAACCAATACTTTCTGTTGGCGCATAAGGAGCAAGTAAACAAAATTTTATTTGAATTAGACAAAAATAGCAAAAATTATAGCAAAATCACAAACGCACAGATCTTTTATAGGAATAGGTATCGATAGAGTTAATATACAAAATTTGGTAGGATCAGCGATCTGCTGAGTCCTTTTAACAAATATTAATGTGAATTAATCAACATCATCTATTAGAAAAAATGTTATTACATAGTAGAGAGAATACTGCAATCTGGTAGAATTAGATACTCCTTGTTCTTCTTTTACATTTCTCCACACTCTGATGAGTCTTGAGTCAAAAGTTTAAAAAAAAAGTTACCAAATTCTCTGTGTACGTATGTTGATCAAAAGATTATTAAACATGGAAAAGTTATGAATTTAAATATTCTCTATTTTTAACATTCGAGACTAAATATTCAAAGTTTGCTAATTGTCGTTCTGTCAATTGTCTGCCTACTACCCTGGCGGTCATCTTTATTCACAATTTTGTGGCACCTTCGTCTCACGATCCTTCCACGTGTAGGCGTAAGACGTCAATCTCTGTAGGTTAGAGCTTTCTCCCATTGTGAGAGCCATTCTATGCGGGTCGCAGGTTACATGCCCACGTTTAGAAAGTAACCGTTGCGAACACCATTCCCCTTCTTTCGTTATGCCACGACAAGCCAATCTAACCAACGAACGGTCCTCTCGCGATTTCCTACTGCCTCCGCTCCGTATTTCATAACTCCTTGTTTCTGTATTCAGTCACTCCAACCCGTTCCTATTTTTGGTCGATGGCTTCCTTTCCATCTGCAATAGAGTATTCTAGTCCAGTGCGTCACAACAGGTGTGCCGTATAACAAGGGTATAGGTATACCGTAATAAAGTTTGTAATTTATTCAAAGTTTCTATGTTTGTGATTTCGCTATAACTCCTATTATTTTTATTCAATTCAGATGACATTTTTTTTTATTATACTGTATGTTCCGATGAAAAATATAGGCTACTGAATTTGTGAAAATATTAGGGCTTCCATTACTCAGGGAAGAACCTTATAAAAAGCATTTGAATTTTTACACATAATGTAAAATATAAAAGAATATAATAAATAATGTACTTTGTAAATACTTTGTAAATACAAGTACCCAACACCGCAACGATTACGATTTGTCATATGCAACTGACAAACAACAAACATATAAGAAAGTACACCATAGGTATACATCACGCTACAAGAATATAACACACACAGTTAAACAATGCATCACACATACTCCAAACTTATAATATCATACATGTACTACACACACCTATGTAATATAACATATCCTGATACGTACAAATAACAAATAAATATAGACAGTGTGCCGATAAAATGTGGTACCGACAAAAAACATAGCTCTTACCGATCATGAGAAGTGCTACAGCTATGTGGTCCCGACCTGAAGCCCTGAGGGCCCCCAGCAGAGCGCCAGCACCCGCGCAGACGAGACCCACTACTCCAACACCCAATATGGACCAACGTACAGGAGGGGAACCGAGGCCGCAACATTGCTTCGGTACAGCGTCCCTGAAAGACAATAAACAATTATTAAAATGATCCACACAATCGTATCTCCTATAATTTGGAAAGTTGAAATGTACTAAGTCTTTATATTCGTATTCACCTGCCGAAAGCTGAGACGCTGGTCGAGACTGGGAAGGGTAGACCAAGACTAAGGCCTCTAAGACCCAAATGAGGTGGCGGAGGATGCAGAAATCCTCTTGGAGGTGTTACTAATGGTACTCCCGGTGCGGTAGAAGGCTGACAACCCGGTGATGTACCAGGATACGACGGTGGCAACGAACAGGATCTCAAGGCACGTCGGTGTTCCCTGCGCATCCGTCTTTCTCTTCTACGGGCACATCGAGCACTGTCCAAGTCCTCCAGTGCCTCTGGCCCGCTGTGGAGCGCCAGTTCCGTCTGCGCCTCCGTCGAAGTGAAAGACCGCGCATTGTCTCGAGACTCCTAGAAAGATGCATTGAAATTAATCATTCTGCATATACATTCAGTTGTTACAAATGGGTTTTCTTAAGGGGTTAGTCGCAGTCAGGAAAATGGAAACGGACAGTTTCTTGTGTGTTTTTTTTTAAGGTATTAAATAATAATTTTTCTGAACGAAATGTAAATATATTACAAAGTATGTCTTAAAGAACTGTAAAAGAATTTTTGTTTTGAAAAAAGGTTAATTCATTTCGTCATAACAGGCGATGGCGTGGGTGGCCACTTGGTTTGCGGTGAGCAAGATTTCTTCAAACTGGTGCACCTGAAAACAAAACTGAAGGTAGATTTAGAAAATATATTAGACTAACGGGTCCCTGAACAAAGGATTTTTTATTTTCTTGTATACTTTCTTTTTTATCCTGTATTGAATCGCTTAATTTTAGTGAAAAAATTGAAAATCAACTTCAAATGTACGCCATCTTCTTTTAAATTAATTTTTTCCAAAATCCTTCCTTCAGGGACCCGCTAGACTAATCTATTTTTGAAATCTACCTTTGTTTTTGTTTTCAGGTAAACCAGTGTAGAGAAATCTTGCTCACCGCAAACCTATGTTTTTAAATCAATCGTCTACGTCATCGGCTGTTACGACGATATAAATTAAAGGTTTCTTAAAACAAAAAATGTTTTTTAGTTCTTTAAAACATGCTTTATAATATACTTAATTGTTACTTATGCAAATTATTATTTAATAACTACAAAAAAAATCACAAAGAAATGTCGTTTTTTCTCTTCCTGACTGCGACTAACCCCTTAATAAGCTATTTATTACATCGCATATTTTTGTGTAGGAAGTTTTTCTTTCTTGTGTTGTGGTTGGCAACTTTTACTAATAAACTTGATAGATGACATGCTGTGGTATTTTATATTTTTTAATGGATTGGTAAAGTTGAAATTAATTATGAAAGTCGGAATGTTAAAGAAATATAACATAATTAGTAGATAAATAAAGATTTGTTGTTATTTTTCAATCAAAAGTGATAGTAAAAATATGTGTTTAGAAATTGTATCTTCATTAATGTGTTGTTCATGAATAATTTCAAATTACGTATAATTAATTATAATTTGCATAATCGCATATTTGAATTCATTTTCAAATAGACTTCATAGCACATTTACGAAAATACGATGAGAAATAAGAGACGTTTTAGTCTTTAGCGCAGCACCACTTTGAAAAAATAAACAGTGGTTACGGTAATCCCTGATCAAATATCCGTAACTCAGATTTGATCAAAAACCGAGACATTACTGTATGACAGTTTAATGATTGTTTAAGACATAACATTGACTTGTTTTGAATTTCGGGTCAATTCGACGCGGCGAACGGTAACATTTGTAGTTATTTGAACAGTGGGTGAGGCCTGAACAGGACGAGTGAATTATTTATATAAGTAAACTACGGATATTTATGCAAATACATATTTTGTATGCATGTGCAAATAAATTAATTTAAATTATATTATATTTTATATGCAGATATATGTATACTGAAATGTACAATACATAGAAATACAGAAAATACATAAATAATTACACATACGCAGAATACATATAAACACGGAGGTATATAATATGAAATGGACAGATGTCATAATCGTCATCGTCATCGTCAATCATACACAATCATCCATCGTCGTCGTTATCATTATAGGCATCATTATCGTAATCGTTATGATCATCGTCGCCGGTATAACCATCACCATTATACATAATCATCATCGCCATCATCATCATCATTATAAAACGCGGTCATTTAATGTATTCTGCATATATACTATATTATATACGATAAAATGGTGTATGATATGTACGTATTATGTATATTTTATGTATTGTACCTGTGAAAAAGGCATAAACTCTTTGCTGAGATTATAGGTGCGGCGATTTAACCATATTTTTATTTAATATGATTTATCAGAAATTAATGCCGTAAACCGAAATTCTCCATTACATTTAGTTTATAAATTACATTTATTATAAATATGATATTATCATACTTTAAATGAATGTAACTTCTACATTACACGTGATAGAGAATTGCGGTTTGTGGCATCCTTTTTCTGATAAATTATATTAAATGCAAATCTTGTGAAAAGTTGTGATATAACTTAAAGATACGTAACCAAAGGTTATATTTATGGAATATGTGAAAGATAATTCTAAGAACAGTTATATGTTTGATACTATGTAATATGTTATAAATTGTAAAGAAAGACAGTGTAAACTGATTGTACAATCATGCACTTTAAATAAATGGTTTGAAATGAAATTATATTAAATGTTAACACTAACAGGAAGCAATTTAACTTGTGTATTAAGCTAGTTGGCTGTTTTTGAATAAAAGGACTTCCTGTTGAATTAAAAGGAGGGGAAGTTCCAGAGTTTTCTGCTTTTCTTTGTTTTGTTTTTTTGTAACGCTTACTGTGCGCGTTCTGTAGTCGGAATTCTATAGTCAGAAATACAGGGTGTTTGGTGACTGGTGGAACAAGCGAAAACGGAGTGATTCTACATGAAAAGTTAAGTTGAAAATATAGAATTAAAAATTGTTCATCTTAGGCTTTGTTTTCGAGAAAATCGACTTTGAATTTTCACCGGGTACGGGTACATTTGATGAATTATTAGATGTACCACTGAGAACTAGAGGAAATTTAATTTTTCAGTACACTACCACATTTCAGTCGTTAAGTGAGAAATTTTTTAAACCATTAATAAATTTTTTAAACCAAAATTACCAAGATAGGATTGGTCGTGCTGGAACAATAGCTTGGCCACCACGCTCTCCTGACTTAACACCGCTTGACTTTTATTTATGGAGTCATCAATTGTGTATTCCGAAGAAATCACAAGTTGCGAGCAATTGAAAGAAAAGATTACTGTAGCCTTTCATACATTAAAACAATCGAATACGTTAGAAACCGTTCATGGAAATTTAATTAGAAGAGCAGAAGTATGTATTCGGCAGAATGGGCAACACTTTCAGAAATTTCTGGAATAATAAACTTTATGATTACTACACATTCCTAAGTTTCCGTTATGAACTTAATGCGATAATAACCATCATAACTATACACTACAATGAGATTTCGTTACAACAAGACATGATCAAGCGCACCCGTACCCGGCGAAAATTCAAAGACAATTTTCTCGAAAACAAAGCTTTCCATGAAAAATTGTTACTCTATATTTTCGACTTATTTTTCCATGTAGAATCGCCCCTTTTTCGCTTGTACCGCCAGTTACCGAACACTCTGTATACATATTTACCACAATTAGTAATAAAAAGTAATACTTATTTGTTCCCATAATCAATAAACATTAAATAAAAACACGCTCAAATCGCTGGGCCACAGAAATCGCAATCATGTCCAAAAGTGACCGACACAAATATTGACCACGATATACATTCTCTGTGTGGACAATTAAATACATTATAGTAGATAAATCTTTAAATTAAACCCCGTTGGATACCTGACGTGTAGAAACATCCGTATTCTGCTTACATAAGTTGCAATCAGAGCTGGGTAAAATACGTATTTTAAATAGTAAATAGTAAATGAATATTTTATTTCGAATTGTGCATGTATTTTTAAAAATAGAATATTTTATTTCGGATCATTCAAGTATTTTTTTAAATAAAATCTTTTATTTGTCATAAAAAATGTTTAAGATAATATTTCAAATACTATTTTATTCGAAAAACACTGAACATATTTGTATCATAGTTCGGAATATTTTATTTTACTAAATTATAGTGTAAAAAACATATATATATATCGAATTGAGTAACTCCTTCTTCTTCGAAGTTGGATAAAAAATATATCTATTGTGGTAATCTAAAACGAACGAAGTACTGTTCCTCTGCATTATAAACATATTAGGTGTACTGTAAAGTAATGTCGTTTATGCAATTTTAAATACTTGTTTATCACTCATGAGCTCATTGATTTTGATCGATATGGCATTGAAAATTTGCACACTAAATGGCAAAAGGCTGTTGATAACAAAGGCGATTACGTAATTGATTAAAAATAGAAATTTATTAAAAGTTTGTCCGAATTTAATGTAAAAGAAACTACATTACTTTCCAGTCTACCTAATACATTCAATGTAGTTCTTCAATGATTACTTCTATTAAGAATCTTCATAAAATGAATGATGGAAAGAGATATTCTTCAATCGCAAGAAATCATAACATTTGCAAGAAATAGTTTCTCCATTTGTATATCATACATACACAGTTTATTTCCAAATTAAGAACTATGGAAAGTATTCTATTTTATGCTTCATGTTATTAAAACGAAACATATTTTATTTTATGTGTTAGATTATCAAAATAAAATATTTTATTTGCTTAAATTTTATACCCCATTTGAAATACTATTTTATTTGAATTCTGAATAATCTATTATTTAAAATAGTATTTAAAATAGTATTTAAAATATTTGTAGAGAAAATATTTTATAACATATAAAATACATAAAATATATATTAAATATTTAAAATATTTGTAGAGAAAATATTTTAAATACTATTTTAAATAATAGATTCTTCAGAATTCAAATAAAATAGTATTTCAAATGGGATATAAAATTTCAGCAAATAAAATATTTTATTTTGATAATGTAAAACGTAAAATAAAATAATTTATTTTGGTAATCTACAGTTAAAGCATGAAAATAAATATTTTATTTTGATAATTTAACACATAAAAAAAAATTGTTTCATTTTAATAACATAAAGCATAATATAGAATACTTTCTATAGCTCTTAATCTGAAAATAAACTGCGTAAATATGATACACAGATGGAGAAACTATTTCTTGCGATTGAAGAATATCTCTTTCCATCGCTCATTTTATGAAGATTCTTAATAGAAGTATTCATTGAAGAACTACATTGAATGTATGTTTATAATGCAGAGGAAAAGTACTTCGTTCGTTTTAGATTACCAAAATAAATATATTTTACACTATAATTTAGTAAAATAAAAATATTTTATTTGCTGTTAATTAATTAAATAAATAAAATATTCCGAACTATGGCACAAATATTTTCAGTGTTTTTCAAATAAAATATTATTTGAAATATTATCTTAAACATTTATCTTGAACATTTTTTATAACGAATAAAATATTTTATTCTTAAAAATACTTGCATGATTCAAAATAAAATATTTTATTTTTAAAAATACATGCATGATCCGAAATAAAATATTTATTTACTGTCTATTATTTAAGATACGTGTTTTACCCAGCTTTGAATGCAGTCGATCAACGAGTTTCGTATATGAAACAAAGTGTGAAAAGTAACAAATAACATGCAACATAGTAGAGAAAATGATATACCTGCGGTCTGTTGAGGTGATTGTTCCTAGTATTATCGACGGTCGCACAGCCCACTGTGACGACACTGACAGGTCTCGGGGCATTCTCGGATAGAGCCCCGGCCATCGTACGACTCTGAACATCGGACTCCAGGGTAAAGCACCTTCCCTTTTGCTTTCACAACTTCGCTCGCTATCACGCTTATCCTAAACTCCAGTTTTCCACGTTTCGCTCGTAATCTCCCCTCTCCTCTGCACTCGTTTCCACCAGCATCCACTCTGGCGTATCTCTGTCCTTTTCGCGTCACGTCTTTCTCTCTTTGTCCCGTTCCTATCGAGTATCACTTCACTAGGTATCTCGCTTTTCATTTATTCTGATCGAGTGCACCTTTTCTTCGCCAACATCTCTTTCCTATCTTTTTCGCGTTGTTTTTATCCCTTTCATTTTCATATTTTCTCTGCGTAATCCCCTATGCCGCTCTCTCCCCCGAAATCCCTCGAGCTCTATGTATACTTGCCGCCTTTCTTTCAACCTTTATTTTCGCTTTACAGACATGTCCCCTCCTCTGTCGTTGTCTGCTTCTGGTTTCCTCTGTCTTTCGTTACCCATTTGCACTGTACTTTCCCGCCGTTCCGACTCTCGTCGCCTCTTTTGTCCAACAAAGCACGGAACCATATGCTTTTGTCTGTTCCTCATACGTTGCGCGGCATGCTTTAATCTTTCGTTTCCCCACTAGGTATCGTCTCTACCCTTGTTTTTTCCCTGAATACGTTTCAGCTGCACTCTTCGACAGTTTCTTTCACTTTCCGGAGACTTTTAGCAAGAAACGTTTAATACCTAACCTTTATTCTTATCACAACACGGCGACAGGTTCTCGTTGATTTTCCCATCGGTGGTAAACAAAGAGTACGCGCGAGAAACGTCCATTTCTCCCTTGTGCTTCACCCTGAAATTTACCATCAAACGAAATCGTTTAACCCCTCTGTTTCAAGAAATTATTTCTTGAGTATTTATGTCTAATAATCCACGAATTATTCGATACTCGAACTAAGTATATCGTTTACAAAAATGTTATTAATGAAGACAGTTTGAGATTATTTTGTCTTTGTTTTGGATAAAGATTAAAAATGAATTTTTATATCACGATTATTACCGTTCACGACCTATTTGTATGAGTTTATTTTCGACCTTGGTTCAATTAAAAATAAAGAAACAGGTTTAATTTAGTAATGATATTAATTTTTTCCTTTTAAAAACCACGACCCCTCCTCGTCTACTATTAATTAAACATCAATTTCATGAAGAGAACTTTCTAACTAATCTCTCAAGATAGGATTCAAGTTGCAATTTCAAGAATCTGAACTGGATAAACAAGATTAACCTACTCATATCTGTTATATAAAAATAATATTCATGTGAAACGTGTAACACTAAAATTACTGTAGACCATGTTATTCATTGTTGAAATAAATTTTATAATGATAGATTTCGTTTTATTATCAACGTTAGATATTAATTATTGAAAATTTGTTAAAGAATGAGTGTAACATGTACATCTTATTTAAAGATTTTAAATAAAACTATCTTTTCAACTGCATCATTATTCGTTTATCCCACTAAATCTATTAAAGATAATAAATAATAAAAAATGTACACTAAACATATCATAATCAATCCATTACTACAACTAGTTTCAAACATAAAAAACAGAAAACATTTTATTAACTGTATTTTGTCACTTTTAACGACCTATTAAATTATAAAGTTTACTACTCGAATAATCTACAACAGTACATCTATATTTATCTCGTATAATGGTCTTTAACCTCTTCAAACTTATATGTATATTGTAATGTATGCGAACGTTAGGATTAGTCATTGAAACAATCTATCAATTAATGATGGAAATAATTTTACACTAATACAGTATACCAAATCATAAGAAAGACGATATAGCTAAGAACCTTTAGAATAATATTAATATGAAACGTGACATGTTTTACTTGTCTATCATTCTTTATCTATTATTCTTTTTATAGAAACCTTTCTTTGAATTAGGTGAACTAGAAATAAGTCAATAAATATCAATGTAATTATTAAAAGTCACATTCATATGATTTTATAATTTGATTACAGTTTGTGAAATTTAAATAACTCGAGGCATAGAATGAATACTTTCCCTGTCTATAGAAAAAATTCAGGATTGAAGAGATTAATAAACAATACATCATTATTATTCAAGTAAAAAAATAAAAGTTTGATTTCAGATTCACTGAAACGTCATATTACGATTTAAGATAGACTTATAACTGCAAGTATCTCTACTACACCATTGCACTTTAATTAAGTACTTATTTATCCTACTTTACTTGAATAATACATAACGAATAAAATCAACATAGTAATCTAACTGCGTCATTTACTCAATTAAACTGTTAAATTGTTATTTGTTCATTGTGAAATATTTCATTGTACATTCTGTAATTCAGATTCTAATTTTCATTCAATGAGTAATAGATATACAATTGCTTATATTTTAAGAATTCTAAGTAAGAATTCTGCTTGTTTCTGATTTTAATACAGTAAAGAAACATTATGAAAATTTTCTTTGGAAACTCAGAAAAAGTTTCTTTGAGCTATATAGCTGATAGAAAAGTACTACTCTAACCACACCAGCTAACAAATTCGCTATGCACTAATTTTATACTCATACATAGCACAACAGCAAATCATCAAAACATAAATGACTTCTATTTAGAAGTATATAGCAATAACATATTACAATAATATGCCAAATTGCCAAAAAAGTTCAAAGTAAAAATAAAGCAATATTGGAGGAATCTAAGAATTACACATTACATGTAACGCTTCAATTTTTTACATGGAGATGTAAAACTGCAATACTGAAATAAACAGTATCAAATAGACTCAATTTTGGGTTAATATTAGTTATTAGTTTGTACCAGACTGTGTCAAGATGCATATGCGTACCGAGTACTTGTATTTGTTAATATTTGTGTAATCTGGTTAAATAAATAATTAAATTTCAAGACTGAAATATTCCACAATGAGCAAGTGAAAATAATGACTTTTTTCATTATTTATTATATTGTTCGAATAAATATGATCAATGTCTGCTTGTAATATTGTACGAGCATCAATTGTCTAATAGAATTTTGAATTTTCTATGCTACAAGCATCGACGATAAAACTCGTAACTGACCTGAAACTAACTGTATGGCGACGTTTACGTTGCAAATTATCGTCGCACTCGCGACCGACCGTTTTGACAAACGGTACTTTTCGCGCTTATGTGTTTCTACGTCTTTACGCGTTGGTTCAGCGATTCGATGATACACTATGATAATTTTCAATCGAGCTATTCACTGCTCATGTAAATGTTCAACCTTCGTAAAACACGCAATTCACTCTTACCTAATTATTCTTAGTTGTACATAAAAAAAAAAAGGAACTGCAGAAAATAGCTACTGCAAACACGTTTCGAAGCAATTATTTCATACGAATAGTAGATAACGAATAAATACTCTGCATAGCAATAAACAAATAAATTTCTATTTATTCAACACAAAATATAATGTCGTTCTATCATTCAGGTTCTAATTTTTATTTAACGAATAACGAATGAAAAGTTGTTTACGTTCTATTCGTTATTTGAAAGTTGTATTCAGCCAAGAATCTCGCAGATTCGTATTTGTCTTCGTCACGACGAGCCTATCCTTCTATTGTCCGGAAAAAAATCAAAAGTAGGACACTGAAAGCAACAAACTTGAGAAAGAGTTTCCGCAAAATATCATTCAATGACCTGATACTTTCAGCTATTCAGCTGTCGTTTATCACTAAAACTGCTCAATTCGGTTTTATCTTTACAATTTTCTGCATCCTAAATTTTCATGATAGAAATTATTGTGAGGATAGTGGACAATCGGCCACTCTCGACAGTCCGAGTGTTGGAAAATTATTGACAGAAATGGTACCCACGCATGCATGATTTCCAAAGTAACGCAACACTGCCTACGAAGACGTTGTAAACACTTTCACGTTGACGATAACAGATAAGAATTGGTATCCTTCCAATCTGATTTCGAAACTACTGTAAATCACTGAATTTCGACGATCCATTTAAAAATCGAGATACCCGCACAACACGATCTTGTAGCAACTAGTATGGAAGACAGTCGAGTACGAAGAAGCCATCCATCTCGAAATCACACTTAGCACACAGCCTGTAGCACTTTATTTATTCTTCGAACCAAAATATCGCGTTTCTTGGATTCACACTTTGTTGTTCTTTACATCGTTACATGAACTTCCCCTAACGTCCGTGAAAATGGGTCGACTCGCGTTACTTCGGTTTTCGTACGAACGCCATCGAAAACAACATATCTCAACGCAGGTAGCGGCTATACTGTCGCCGCACAAACTGTACAATGTGCGGCAAACTCCCTCTCCCTACCACCTCTCTCGCGCTGCGCGCGCAGCCATGAAGCACTAATATAACAGAAACGAAACTAAGTTTTTCAAATACAAATGTATAGTTTTATTGTTTATTATTACTACTATGCTTCCATCTCCTTTATAATTCAATTTCATAATTTAGAAACCGTATAAGCCTGTCAGGAATTTTCCAATGACATTATATATACTTTACAAAATTGTTCTGATATCATCGTAAAATTCATTTGTTTATCGAATTTAATATTTCTATTCTATTGAAGAGGACCATGAAACTTCGTGATTTAAGACCACTATAACATTCTTTATATTTGACATAACTTGCCGTTAAATTTTAACTCAAAGTCCCGCCATTTTCTAATTTTATTAAATCTTGGTTTACATAAATCATTCATTTAATATTATATTAATCTCTTTGAATAAATTTTCTTTTTTATAATTGTTGCTTGTATAGAATTAATAAAATTCATATCGATCCTAATTATGTATTACGTTTTGTAATATTTTGTATTACTTAAACATTCCAAAACACTACTTTTAATTTATTGTATTTAACAATGTATCATGTAGCATTCAATTTGTTATAAATAACATTTATATCACAATGATGCAGTAATACATTATCCTTCTTTGCAATATTGTGTTTGAAGATTATAAGATATAAAACTATTTATTCAAGGTTTAATTAAAAAAAGAAGTAGAGTGCTATTTTATTTTCATATTAAACAAATGTAACTTATATACTTTAAAGTAATACAATGCTTAAAATTGATATTAGTATTCTAACAATATTTGTGAATGTATTTTAATAGTTAGTATTGCTTATTGATTTTACATTAAAAGTAATGTAATTTACACAAACACATCAGTGATCAAAATCCAGCTCATACAATTTCAATCAAAAATTTTTAAAAAGAATTTAATATCTGAAAATAAGAAAAGGCAATGTATGAATATTTTACAGATTTCTTTATCTTCGCATTTAAATAGTAATACTTATTTTATAGTAATCACTGTATTGCAGTTTATGTTACTTAGAATGATCTAAAATGGAGTTAGTTCTGAAGTTATGATATTGTGATGAAACATTATTCTTGTTTCTGAATGAAAAACTTAATAGACAGTACAAGTGTAGAGGAAAAGTCAATTCTGCTTATTATGAATTTTCCTCTGTTATTTAGTTAGCATAAGATATGAAAGCAATACTTTCTTTTTATATTACGTTTCGTATTTGTGCAACGCATGTTTGACATGAAATTCTATTTAATATAAAATTAATAATAAATCATTGTAGGTATGCACTGAAAAACACTAAAAACTAGGTTTATCAATTAGTTTTATTTAAAGATCTATGATGAAGGCATCATAATTGGAAAACCAAGTAATATATTTAAACTAACATTGAAAGTAGGAGGGGTCTCAAGTAATTATAAAATGCAGTTAGGCGGGTATTAGGTTCGCTGAAGAAAACTGCAGCGACGCATACGTTTGTACAAAAACTATGACTAATTTAATACAAATATGAATATAAATATATATTCATATCTATATTTTTATTTATTATTTATATAATATTTATATATGTATAATATGTATACACCACGTAGAAGCAATGCGCCTTTAGGAATTTTGAATTAGCTGCCTAAAAACCAGCCAATAATTGAATTGTCTTTACAGTATCATTCATTATTGACTACTTGTATAAAGAAAAGGCAGTGAATAAAAAACAGTAGAAGGTATAAGTTTCTGTGATTGGGAGAATCGTGCTATAGACAGTTCTGAATTTTTAATACATAGCTTTATTAGTTAATGGAATGTATTATCTTAAGTAAATATATTAATATGTACTTAATTAATAAATGCATTTAATTTGTAAACTCCTCTTTATCGAAAAATAATAATGATGCTATTGATTAAGCACTTCTAATGTTATATTGTAATACACACGTTATTATTTATATGTGTTAAATAAAGTATTTTTCATTATATTATTATTTCTTTACAAGTAAAATAACTTTAACATAGTTTACTTAAAATAATACTTCCAAAATGAAATAAAATTATTCTTCGTATCTTCAGTGCACACTTTATAATTGAAATATATCCAAATAAATATGAAATATAACAGTGAAAATTATGCATACTTAATGCTTTGAGTGATATCTATACTGATTTCATGTTGTAAAGTACTTAAAATTCCTGACGTTTGTATGTATGTTGCCATATCGTGGTAACATGAAACTACAATATAAAAATCGGCAGTGTGCGTTACCTTCTGTTGTGTTTGTCAGTTTATACACTATGAAAACAAATATCGTTATTCAATCACATGGTGTTAGTATAAAATGTTTCATTTCCTGCTATTATTTATTAATTATCTACTTCTTCGTCCTTCGCCACATTAGCGTTAATACTATTTCAATATTTGCGTCACCGTAATCTTTTACTTTATACTGTTAATTATTTTTGTATAAAATACATTATTATCTAAACATGAATGAATGATTCCAACACTTTCATTTTGAATGGTTATCTTTATAGGATACTTCTTGTTCAGTGCACTCAATGTGATGCCCTGACATTAATAACAGTCCTAATCCTTTGAATGTCTAAAACTTAAATAATTATTTATCATAAATACAAAAATGGATTTGCACTTATTAATCATTTGAGGATTCAATAATTTCTTTTATTCAAATACGCTGTTTAAATGTATAGAGTAGCATAAATTAATTGTATTCTTAAAAGTAACTTGGTGCAAAAGCTTCCAGTAATTCATGAGATATTTTAAGCACTTCCATTCGTTAAGAACAAGTCGAATGTTATAAAACCTATGTATATGCATCAAAAGTTTGCGCCGCTTATCATTATTCATTCATGATTCAAACAGATTCTCCAACTTGTAATGTAACAATATACAATAATAATCAAAAGTAAAAATATGTAATCATAAATTTATAAATTTGCAGCACCGCAGAACATTTTCCCTAAGTACACTGCTTAAACTGATATATAATATATATATATACCTACTATATACCTACAATAGTTAACAAGTCTGCAGGCCACAGTAGTGCAGCCCTGATGTTTAATTGATTAACCTAAGTTTTAAGTTTATTTCAAAATCTTGTATATATTCTACCACATGTTCTCTTCTCATTATGATATAGTATAATTGGATTCGAATATGAATAACGACCCATATTTTAAGATTAAAAATAAAATGTATCAAAGGAATGATATTATAATTCAGTTCACCGCAATGCATTTGTTTACGTTTTAATTATGAAACTGATTCGTACAGAGACAACAACAAGTTCATACTACTTAAAGAATGTAAAACATTTAATTACTATAATGTCCCACTGTAACACTGTATGCATTTATATATGAGGATCCGATGGTCGATATATGAACTGAAAGATAAAATATTTGTATTCAAACCAAAGATACAGAATATTCTTGAAAGTGCGTTATAAAGATTTGCAAAATGTTCTTGAAGAAATATGATAACATAAAGGATAGCAAGAATGAATGAATATTGTATAGATTTCAAACACTTGAAACCTTGAAGAACATTCGAGCACATTGACATCTGGGATCATCACATACAAATGTGTGTATAGAAATATACAAGGTGTCCAACTCCACACAGGCATCGTAATTATCCTCTTTAGTTATAATAATATGGAAATTTGTTTCACACGTGATTTGAATAGTTTAAAAATGCGAATATGATATACAAATATTTTAATGCAATTGATTGTTTTCTAGGCATTTGAAGGTCACATACTTTCTTTTACATAAAGTAAATATTTTTTTATATATTGTATTTAACGTCGATATGCATTCAAGCTTAATAATACGATTTTTAAATGTTCGAAATTATGATTCTTGATAAAAATATGCGTCTCCATATTAAAAGATACCTGCGCAGATCTTTGCAGTAAACTGTATCTTAAAAAATCTGAAAATATGGAATATATGACACTTGAAAGAAAAGGTCTTAGCAAGGCCTTTCAAAATTATTTAAATTACGTATAAAACATTTTTTCATAATATCACTACTGAAGGAGATAATTAACAATTTGTAATAAAAAATTGTTTTTATTAAGTTCTTCTGTGGCCATTGTCAACTGGAACACTCTGTATATACGTAATCGCGCCGCACGCGCGCGTGTGTACACAGATACACACACACGCACACGTTGCTACAATAAAGTCTATGCATAAAATTTTATGCACAAGTCTCAGTACATATCAGCATCATATTTGGATTTAGGGGTATCCGAACACTTTGTTTCGACGACATTCCACTACTACGATTACTTTGATTTCATATGTATATGTGGATACGTTGTGTACCTTCCACATGCTTCTGTGCACCATGTAACAATAGCGAGTTACATACATCACTATATTAGTACGGATAATAAATATAAAATGTTAATTGGCATACAGCGCATATGATTCTGTATTAAATTGTATTATCTTAAAATTCAATTGGCAGTCAAATGTTTATGTTGGTTTGTTCTCAGTCTTAAGAGAACTTTTTTGAAGTTCAAATAATGGAAGATGTAAATTTTTTCATATAAACTATCGTACACTCTTATAGAAATTGTACCATAATATAGACAAAGATATAATTATGCTTCATTATCAAAACAATTTGAGTCAGTAATATCCTTCTTTGACAGTATTGGAAGAATTATATTTTCAAAGTACTTTATTGTGGAAAAGAGATGCAGAACTTTACTTCTTCGTATCATACTAACCTCAAAATGTCTAACAGTTACGAAGGTCCCGATCTAACATGCTATCGTTTTAGCAAAGGACGGAAGTGGAAGAGGAAATATATTAGCTGGAATGTATATATGTTGATATTAATGAAATTTCCAGAGAAGAAGTATCAGTCTTTGTGCTGTGTAATTGTAAAATGTACGCTTAGTGTATGGACCTGAACTACATTTATGTTGCTTGTAGTTTTATTTTTAAGGCATAATTGTTAATCATACTTATTAAACGTATTTTTATTTAAATGTACTTTCTCCCATATAACTATGTATATATTGTCAAATCACGAAAACTCAGCTGCCAATACCCGTCATATGAAGCAGGCAATCACTCGTGATCACAATATCGCGTTTGATACAAGCAGTGTGACTAAAAGAAAAAGAATTTGAATAAGAATAACGTAATAAGTACTTTGAAGAAATACAACGGTCACAAAGATTATGCAACGTTTAGATGTCTCTGGAAACTTCATAATATTTTGATAGAAAAATAAGAAGCTTGATTCTATGGAAAAATAAAATTAAGAAAGAAATAAGAGAAAACTGATAAAATTTAAATCATAAAAGTGTGGAGGGATTCACTACATTAACTCATACAATTACAACAGGATATTACTTTTTGTGTAATATAACGTGTGTCGTAGGTTAATGCAATGAAAAGTAGTAGGAAGTTTGTCTATCGCCGAATATTTTCATTTTAACATGATCGTTGCGAAGTCGGGAAAGTTTAAAATTCGTATTAATATATGATACGTTCTATTTAATTTTGCAAATATTATTTGCGCATGATCTACTATATACGCCACAGCGTAGAAAATCAATTTCTATTAATCGCTTCTATTGCCGAAATTTTATGCTTTGTGATAACGTTGTTTAACGTAAGTGAAAAAAGATAATGAAGACAATGATGATTACGAATTCAGACCCTGACGTTTTTCTTCCTCGAGCATGGCATCAAGTTCATCAGTGAGATTTGCAAGCATATTTCCGATGTCGTTCAATACATCTGCAGGTTCGCTACCACTGGAATGATGACTTATTACATGACTCTGAAGACTGTTGTTAGAGTTGTTACTTGCATATTCTTGGGCTCGTGCAGACCTCTGCTTTATCGTCCCAGCGTTTTCATTTGCAAAAGGAATTGAATCAGATTCTGTACTGGAACTTGACTGAAACGAACATAATATTTTCAAACGTTAATATAAACATATGCTGTATAAAAATTATAACAATTTACATGTGTAAATTTTGACAGTAAATTTCAAATAACACCTATTTTAGTGATGTATAGTTTAAAATACAAAAAGATTTTATAAAAATTGTATAAAGTGAAGTACCTTAAAGCTGGCATCAGAACCATTACGATGTTGCAAAGCGAGAGACGCTATTAATTCATGTTCCTCGTTCACATTAGCACTAACACTACCCCAAGAACGAGACATGGAAGAAGATGGTCGATTCATTTGCGGTGGAGTTGATGGTGCTGGTGCCGGTGCTGGTGGCGGAGGTGAGGGATGATGAAGCAAGTGACGATGTTGATGATGATGTATATGATGATCCTCACAAGAAGCAGTTGGTACAGGTCCGCTGCAATCTATTACAACATCGCCAACTCCCGATCCACCAACACCAACGACAGAAGAACTACTTTCTCTAGAACTCTGGCGTCTTGGAGGAGATGGGGGACAACGCTTCGGAAGATGTGGACTACTTTCAAGTCCATAAGTTAGTTGATATTTATTATCGAAGTCTCTTGGTAGTGACTTGAATTGCCCTGGAGTTGCTGTGACCTGCAATCAAAATTTAATGGTAAATTTATTTACTACGATTTGAGTAAAATTTGTAATAATAGTAAATTTGTATAATATAATTTATATTTGTATGATATAATGGTTTATGTTAACAAAAATAACATCGTGTTATCTAACTTGGAAGGATCCTTAAAAATATAGTAAAATTAACAAACGTATATATCGTTATTACCTTGGCTATGGGTCGTGGACGAACAAGGCAATGTCTTGGACGTGGAAGAGTTCCACCACCGGCTTCCACAATAGAAGTGTCGTTTGTAGGCGTGAGATCACCATCCTCGAAACTGCGTGGACGCCATTCAATAGGTTGTGGGTGCGTAGAAGGTGCTGGAGATGGAGGATATCCAAGCGGTGCATCTTCTAAGCTTTCTAAGGACTTTCCTCGTGAACCAGAACGTCCAACAATATTATAATCAGCTGGCAAGGCAGCGTACATACTTCTCCATGCAGTGTTGGACGTGGTATCGCTTCCTCCTCTCTGGAAGGACCTCAAAACAGGCGATGAACAATCTTCATCGGGTGACGGCAAATCGGGACCTCCTCGTTGAATAACTACGTCCTAAAAGTATAATTAAAATGATCTAAATATAAGGAAACAAGTGTATACTAACAATTTGCTTTTAAATATTTTCAGCTTATTCAAATAAATGATACAGAAGTTGTAAAGAATGTAAAGCTCTTCACTTCATGAATGTAAAGCCAAATTAATTGACACGTAAAAGACAATAAATTGTTACACTATTCTCGTATTTTTGTTACTATTTGGGATAATGAAATATAAAACATTTGTTTACCTGTGTTTGCCCAGGATGCGGCGGTAGTCGTGCAAGATCTAAAGGTTGTATACGTTTACCGGCACGAATATCTTTCACTCTCTTAATTGCCAACAATAACTTCTTCTGATGGCCCAATCGTACAATACCAATGTCTTCAAGATCCTCCCAAGTAAGAGTCGTTACGTCTTCTACCGAACGCATACCCTGTTGGTGAAGAGCACCGAGGTATTCTTCGAGTCGTAGAAGCCTAAGCCACTCCTCTAAGGAACCAGGAATATGTTCTGGCAATCCATCTCCAATATTTAAATTGTCTATTTCCGCTTTCAAACGTTTTCTGTGATTAGGCTTCTTAATTCCTGGAAACGCACATTATCTTAATTACAACCCATTTTAAATACAAAACTGTTGGATAATCTTAAAGTTCTCCAAAAAAAAATACAAATATAAACGTATCGCATGGTAATGAAAATTTATAGATGTAAACAAATTTTGGCCTTTAAAAATATCCACATCTAGAGTCGATGTATAAAATGAAATATTAAAAGTTTAAATATATTTAAATACATGCTAATAATAGATTATTTCCTGTCTTTAAACTGGATTTATATCTCACAAGCAATTATCTACGTAACTTGATGCATGAACGACGCTAAGACACTTTTACTCTAACTTGTTTAATTAGGTATTTATCTACCTATAGCCGTCAGATCTTCTGGCGTCATACGCGTTATAGTAGCAAGATCATAACCAGCGGAAGCAAATAATTGAAAGTATTCCTCGAACTGGAGTTCAGTCAACCAAGCATGAACGACATCGAGATCTGCTGGCCTATCTGGATGACTGCCGAGCGAGCTTATAGAACACCTGGGAGACGAAGCAAGCGCACCGGGTCCTCTAGGACCCAGATGATAACCGGAGGCCCTACCAGAATCTAACGAAGCGGTAGAATGCCTGGAGCCAGAACCTGATCCTGAACTACCTGGGCTATCTCTACCGGGGCTTTGAGTCATGTCGATTCCTGAAAAACAATCAGATGTATGTTACAATTTAAAACAGTTATTGTACACTAATTGATAATACAACATTCAAAATTTGCGAACATAATTTTCCTATAATCCCTACAATTCTTATCCAATTCAGATGAAAGTTTCTTTAGAGTTTCTTTGTTTCTTTGGAAAATATGAGTTTCTTAAGTATGCTTAATTATATAATAAATATATTAATTTAAAATATATATTATAAAATATATTATATTATATTAGTGGCAATGTATTCATTTTGGCGTTTCAGCTATGAAATGGACTTGATTGCAATTTTCTAAACCGTTTTCTAATTATATTAGTATTACGTAATATTAGCTGTAATTGTTTTTAAGCAACATTAGGGTTTTGTTATTCATTGCCAAGAAAAATAACAAGGAAACTTTTTAAGAAACAATACAATTTTTACAGAGAATATCGTTTATAAACGAATGATTGCTCTTTAAAAATAATTGATCAATTTTTTTAGGGAATAATTATTATATGTTCCTTTGTCGCAAACAGTTAAACGATCGTTACAATGATCATGACTGAGGATTTATGCATTTATGACGTACAATAATGTAGAATATACATAATGTACGTTGTACGTTGTAGTGCAAGTAATAAAAATTACACAAATTTTCTAAGAATACGTTTAATCAACATTTAATACTTTCCATGTTTGTGAATATTACTTTCTCAAGAAACATTGGAATAACAATCTGAAACTTTGGGATGCAGTTAAAATTGTATCTCAGAATTAATTCAACATTTATAAAGTAATACTTAGTATTTGCTTAAATATTAATAACAATCACGGTTCAGAACAAGCATTCATTGAAGGCATTAATTGTGGGAAATTTTTCTATATTTAAATATTTATATTTATATTATAATTATATTTTAATTTCTATACTTTAATATTTATTGGTTGTAATAACTAAAAATTAATTTCTGACAACAGTTAAATCAATTATTAACAATACTTGTTGAAGTAATTTTGAGGAATATGATTTTGCTGTAATATTAATGTTTCGCGAATTATTTTCTCGATGGATCCAATGAGCACTTGAATAAACCGTCAGTCGATTATTGATCACCCTTCCCTTTCTATTCATCAACAAGCGACCTCCGTGACTGTCGCAGGTAAACGAGGATCGAGAACTCCATTCTTCGATGATCTATCTCAGATTTTGTGTAAATTTGAGTATGTTGCAGTCTTTGGTGACACTTAAACGTACCTCGAAAGATTTTCCGAAATTTCAAAAATTATGGATCTTACAAGTGTAAAGATTTAAGTATTACTAAAGACTGCAACGTACTGAAACTTGCACAAAGTCTGAGATGCTGCTTCATTCAGTGTCTGATTTTACGTGAAATCTGGAATGATCCTATATTGTGCTGTATTATTCGTATATTCCTTACGTGTACAATATTATATGTAAATGCACATACATGGGTGTGTTTAGCATGTATTCGTACTATTATTTTATATCATAAATGCATAAATTCCGCAGTCTAAAAATGACAAATGAATAACATAATCAAACATCACACCTTGATCCTCAGCATGAGCATATTTGCCCACGACTGGTGGAAAGGCGAAGCCAGTATGAGTGAAAATAGGTCCCGGACTCTTTCCAGATGGCATCCCGTAAGAGCCATCGTCCGCTGTTCCGCCTGATCCACTTCCGGGCAGGAAACAACTATCTTCGCTGCTTGCATATCCAGCGGAACCAAAAGAGGAGCCTGAATGTCGAAACACATCGGGTACAGCCGGTGGTGCCACTTTCTTCGCCTGGGTCACTGCTTTGGACGGCCGGTTCATGCCGCCAACTACACATACGTTGTATACATTCCTTGATTAGATAAGGGCCAGGTTCAAATAAAGGGTTTTTCAAATGGAACTTCAGATTTTTTCTTTTTTTTTTTAACGCAAATAGTATGGAGTATATTTGATTTTGTTTATCTCAAGTGGAAATACATACAGTGGGTGTAGAAAGTATTCGTACACTGATCAATTTCCAAAAAAACCATGTAAAATTGTAATTTATTAACTTATTTTTGATAAACAATCACATCCTACATATTCTCGGAAATCTCTAGAATAGATAGAGTATAAAAAAAAAAATAGCTATTTATGTAAGTTGCGAAATTAAGAAGAAAAAAAGAATTAATCGATAGAAATGTTGACGCAATAAGTATTCGCACGACTGTTTAATTTTTAAAACATCATTTGAGGGGGTATCCTGAATTGAAAGGTTTAAAAAAAGCGGTTTTTCGTGAATTTTTTTAGGATGAAAAAAAATGATTAATTCTATCGAACTTTTTTTCCTATTTTCATACATATTTGAATAGTTTGTACAAATTTTTTCAACAAGAAATATTCAAATTGAGTCGACTGTGACGCACATTTGTAGTGTACGTCATAATTAAAACCTCCTATCGGCGGGAAAGATGCATGTCGTAATTTTGGTTTGACACAAAAAAAAAAACCAAAAGAAATTTTTATTTTCATACATTTTTCTTCTATGTGAACTACAAAAATTCATACAAATAAATTTTAAACAATGTTTTTATCAAGTTAAAGTGATTTTTTTCACCCAAAGAACTCGTTCTTTTTTTTCAAACTTGCAGTAATTTCACATTTCACCATTCTTGCGGGTTTTTCTTAGTTCACATAGAAGAAAAATGTATGAAAATAATAATTTCTTTTGGTTTTTTTGTGCCAAACCAAAATTACGACCTGCATCTTTCCCGCCGATAGAAAGTTTTAATTGTGAGATGCTCTACAAATGTGCGTCACAGTCGACTCAATTTGAATATTTCTTGTTGAAAAAATTTCTACAGGCTACTCAAATATGTATGAAAATGTTCGATAGAATTAATTATTTTTTTTCATCCTAAAATAATTCACGAAAACCGTTTTTTTTAGACCTCCTAATTCAGGATTAAAATTAAAAAAGAAAATGACATTAATTTATGAGTATATAATACTTCCTACGTGGGATTTCCTTTTGATTTTATAATTATTGCAACTCTTCTAAGGATTAAATTACCTAAATTATTAGTTATTCGAAGTGGGATCTTCTTCCCTTCTTCTATTAGAACCTTTTTTAAAAGTACTTCACTGGAAATTTGATGTTTTCTAATTCGTAAGAAGCAATAAACTAACGTGTTTACGTTACAAACTCTACTTTAAATAGTTCGTCATAGGAATCGTACAAATACTTATTGCTTCTATATTTTTATCCACTTTTCGCATTTTTTTGTTAATTTCACAAATTACATTAACTAGTAAATGTTGTTCGGACTGTATTTATCTCAAAGACTTCCGAGAATATGTAAAATATCATTGATTATAAAAAAAAAGAAGTTAAGAAGAGTTAGTTTCTGTTAATTTCGCAAATTAAATTAACTAGTAAATATTGTTTGGACTATATCTATCTCAGAGATTTCCGAGAATACGTAAAATATCATTGATTATAAAAAAAAAGAAGTTAAGAAATTACAATTTCACACAAAAGTTTTTTGGGAAATTGATCGGTGTACGAATACATTCTACACCCATTGTACGATTTCAATTAACACGCTTTGTGTCGTTGCACCATTTATGGTACACGTTAAACTTGACCTTCATATTTATTTAATGTCCCGAAAACACATGTTTTATGACAAACTTAATACTGTATAATGTATTCCCACAAAAAAATGGCGCATTATTAAAAATTCAGTATAGATCAAAATAAGTTACTAATTCCTTATGCATTGATTTTAAATTAAAACATCGAAATGCCTGAAAGACACGCCTGATTGAATTATTTAAAAATTAACTGAAATTGAAAAAAATAATCTCAACAATCTTATCGGTTATAAACAATTATTTGATTAATTGTCCTGTAGAAATATATTGTATCGTTTGCAAATTTCCCAAACGCACAAGTATCAGAGTATCACAAACCATTTGCAAAAAATGCGGTGTAGCATTATGTTATAATAAACAAAACAATTGTTTTAGATTTTTTCGTACCACATAAGTATTTCTTTTACCTTTAACTCAATGTTACTGCGCTCCCTAAAATGTCCAATAAATAGTTAATAAACTATAACATTGATATTTTGAAAAGTACATTTTTTTTTATACTCTAAACCAATTCCTTTTCACAATTATTTAAAATTTTCACTATCTTAGACTACAAAGGGTTAATTTGATATAAAATTTATAGTCCAAGTAACGCATGTTAAATTCACTTTTGTTTGTTGAGTAAAATGCTATCGAATATTCAAAAAAACTCCTAGCTTGTCTAAGAAAAATTGAATAACATTGAACAAATAAGTAAGAAATTTTATTAAAGATATTTAATTAATTAAAATTAAATCAATCTAAATTAAAACGTCAACAGTTCCCCATTATTCCAGCTTTTTTGTGACTATTAGCAGTGGGAGTTTTTCTAAACAAACCGATATTTTCTTACAGTCAACTCAATGTTGCCTTATCTCATTCGAGAAACAGAGGCACTATTAGAGCCTCTATTGCTCACGGTAGTCAGCAAGGAAGCCTTCTAGAAGTCATTCGAATTTTAACATAGAGTTTCATTTACACGAACATTTTCACAAGCAGTACAGTTCATAAAGAAATTTCATACAGTTTGTAACATAAATTGTTAGAAACCAGTAAGTGAGGAAAAGGTGAGAATAACAGGCAGATAATGGGATGCAGCTTTTAAGGTGAAAACACTATACAAAGGTATAGTGAGGAAAACACTGTATAAAGGTTTATTGTAGTTATAAAAGTACAACGTGATATGGCGGTTACACACAACAGCTTCATTAGAACAAGTGAAGACAGATGAAACAAATGACACATGCATAATGCTTACTGTATGCATTGATACTTTCTCAACATAAATAAATATATATACATACATATATATTCGCTTTTGTTATCCCCTCTCCCTTTATTTTACTCTATTCAATTGAAGAAACAAATAATAATTTAGACTTCTTATGTAGAGTTTACAGAAATATGAATTTAATTTTTTTTAATTTAAAATAGATTCTATATAATAAATTATTTGTAAAAAGAAGTGAGATCCGATAAAAGACTCCAAAAAAGAAAAAAAAATTACACCAAGTACATGAAAAAGTGGAGGACTCAAGGAGTTATCATTGAAAAATAGAAGATCCCTATAAAAAACTACAAGAAAATAGAAAAAGATGTGAAATCGAAATAAGCTGCCAGATGATTTGCCTAGATTTCCGCGGCCTGGAAGTCAAATGCTTGGCGTGGCCAGGCAAGATCAAGGTGTCGATGAATAAGAATTATTTTAAAACGCAAAATAATGTAAGTGTACTGATATTGTCAAAGTTTTAAATTGACAAATTATCTGAAAGTTTGTGAGAGAGAAAGTATGAATATTGCTGATCTAAGAATGCCTTGCCTGGCCACGCCAAGCATTTGACTTCCAGGCCGCGGAAATCTAGGCAAATCATCTGGTAGCTTATTTCGATTTCACATTTTTTTCTATTTTCTTGTAGTTTTTTTACAGGGATCTTCTATTGTTCAATGATAACTCCTTGAGTCCTCCACTTTTTCATGTACTTGGCGTAATTTTTTTACTTTTTTGAAGGTAATCCTAACTGTATGCATTGATACTCTCTCAACATAAATAAATAAAAGTATAAAATCACTTTCTCAAACCCGAGCTGTCCGCCATCTTTAACAGGGGAATAAAAAGATCTCGTTAAATCGCGTAGAATCTACAAATATTTAAACTTCTTCCCATATCTTACCCTCCCCACCACACCGTCTTGAACCCCCAACCCAAGTACTCAGCACATTGGGTCGTGTGGATGGTGTTTCACTTATAAAAATAATTTGAACAATTCAACAATTTAAAAAAGTACTCGGTACACAGAAGCGAATCCGTCGTGATAAACCTAACAAGAATAACTCGGTGATCTCCGAGTGAAACTATGCAAGACGAGAACACGTTTGAGGGCGACCTCAACAAACAGCGACAGAAGCGCCCTCGATAAAGAGCCCTAACGGCCAAGCACTTCGGTACTATGTTTGGAAACAGGTGGATCGTGCCGCACATTTATGTTCTAGATCTAGACTTGCTTGTAAATGCATTAAATGTGATGAAGAGGGCCACATGTCCCGCGCACTCTGAAAATACTACGAGGTCGAGCACCTAGCGATTCGACTTTACCGGTAAAGCATATATTTTGCTTATTTTACCAAATTACAGCTGGTAAATTACCGACCAATTAACCATTACATTTTTTTTATACTATCTAGCGGGTCCCATAATGAACTACAGTGGGTGTAGAATGTATTCGTACACCGATCAATTTTCCAAAAAACTTTTGTGTGAAATTGTAGTTTCTTAACTTCTTTTTTTATAATCAATGATATTTTACGTATTCTCGGAAATCTCTGAGATAGATATAGTCCAAACAACATTTACTAGTTAATATAATTTGTGAAATTAACAAATAAATGCAAAAAGTGGGTAAAAGTATAGAAGCAATAAGTATTTGTATGATTCTTATGACGAACCATATACAGTAGAGTTTATAACGTAAACACATTAGTTTATTGCATCTTACGAATTAGAAAACATCAAATTTCCAGTGAAGTACTTTTAAAAAAGGTTCTAATAGAAGAAGGGAAGAAGATCCCATTTCGAATAACTAATAATTTAGTTAATTTAATGCTTAGAAGAGTTGCAATAATTATAAAATCAAAAGGAAATCCTACGAAGGAAGTATTATATATTGGGTTGTCCAGAAAGTTCGTGCCAATTTTTAAGAAACATTCAAAGACACGT